ATTTTCCGTGAAAAATTTCGTGTATCAAATAGTCAAAAAAGTGAAAGTAGAAAAATAACTCCGCCAATCAAAGGAGCCTAAAATAACTCAAGGGTTTAACAAAGATAGTAGGGGAAAAAAGAAGGAAAAAAATTACTGAAGTGGTGGCAGACACGTGGCCTTTCAAACATTCAAAGGAAAGGAAAATCAGCGACTTTATTATGAACCAGAAGAAAATTACTGAAAGGTGGCAGACACATGGCTATAAGAATGCCTGCTGTCCATCGAACCAGAAGATAAACACCTCTTCAGTTAATCATGGCTTCAATATCTTCTGCTTTTTCTATCTCTTTGGTTATTTTTCTGGGGTTTTCTTGTACTGTTTTACACTTGACAGAAGCTCAGCAATTGGTGCAGGGACTCTCATGGAGTTTCTATGATTCTTCATGTCCTAGGTTGGAATCCATTGTAAGGAAACAGTTGCAGAAGGTTTTTAAGGATGATATTGGTCAAGCTGCTGGCTTGCTTCGACTCCATTTTCATGATTGCTTTGTACAGGTACATAAATGGGATTGTATTTCTTCTCCTCCTTTTTTTTGGGGTAAAATGTGGAGCAATAGGGTTGTGATTTTATTTTGCTTTTACACGAGTTGTTCATCTTGTTGGACGGTTAATATTGTTCGATTTACACGGGGGAGATAGATATTTAAATGATGATTTTCAGGGGTGTGATGCTTCAGTTCTGCTAGCCGGATCGGCGAGCGGGCCGGGTGAACAGGAAGCACCGCCGAATTTGTCCTTGAGGGCTCGGGCTTTTAGAATCATCAATGATCTCCGCCGTCGCGTGCATAGGCGGTGCGGTAGAGTTGTCTCTTGCGCTGATATCACTGCCATTGCAGCTCGTGATGCTGTATTTCTGGTAAACCTAATATCATTTTAATATTTTCTTTAATTTATTAACAATATTATTGAATTTAACTCGACAACGACACTCGGGCTCAATCCAACACGTTAGAATAGAGGTAGAGAGACCAAAATTAACGACTTTAGATGAGTTTGCATTCCTTGAAATAAGTCCTAACATATTAACCAAGTGATGTTTTATTTCAAATGCATTTTTTTCTATCTTCTTTTTAACTACACATTTTTCAATAAAATAATATTATACATAAATTTAAAATTTTTCATTCTGATTTGTAGATTGAGTAATGTTATTTATAGTGAAAACTATCTGTAGTCGTTCATGTGGCATACAGATATGGTGTCGAAAAAAGAGTAAAGAATAACAAAATACATATTATTTGAAGAATAATACTATTTGTACATAAATAATTATATAATGATTTACATACAGATAGGTGTTGAAAAAAGAGTGAATATATTTTTTTTATTTGATTGAAGAAATTCTGATCCAATCATATCTCACCATATCACCGCTGTTTGAAGTCCACAACACGAATTCGTTGACATATTTAAAGGAAATCTAGGTCGATCATCACTTGGCCAACTTATTCGATGCATACATGATATAGGTCGAGTTGAGCCTATGCCCATGTTTGGTTAGATTTTTTTTATAGATTTTGATAAAAGTTGTTGAATTGTATGGTTGAAAAGTTATGAACATAGGAAATGCGTGGTTAAAATTCATTATTAATTTTGACTTAGATTTTAATTATTATTTTTAATTGAACCAAACAGGGACCACGTATCTAGGATAACCATCACTTAGCCAACATACAGAGTTTCAAACTAAGCCCCTATTTGAACCATATTATTTTTTTCATTCTCATTCTTCTACTCATTTTTAACCACACATTTTTCAATAAAATAATATTTTCCTTCACATCAATAACTTTTCCTTCTTTTTCAACCACATAAAATGCATTCTTGGAGCAAAAATGTGCATCTCAAAAAGGGGCTAACTTTGTTTCTTTTGAACGATATTGCAGTCTGGTGGCCCTGACTATGATGTTCCTTTGGGAAGGAAAGATGGACTCAACTTTGCAACGAGAAATGCAACATTGGCAAACATTCCTCAACCAACAAGCAGCGCAAGTGCACTTCTTACCTCCCTTGCAGCCAAGAATTTCGACCCCACAGACGTAGTCGCACTCTCGGGTGGCCATACCATTGGCCTTAGCCACTGCACTTCCTTCACCAACAGACTCTATCCCACACAAGACCCTACAATGGGCAAAACCTTTGCCAACAACCTTAAAGCCAATTGTCCCAATGTCAACTCTACTAACACCACTGTACTCGATATCCGATCCCCTAACGTGTTCGATAACAAGTACTACGTCAATCTCATGAACCGACAAGGCCTTTTTACGTCGGATCAAAATTTGTACACGAATAGAAGGACTAGGAGCATTGTTACGAGCTTTGCTCTTAATCAAACGTTGTTCTACGAGAAGTTTACAATTGCCATGATAAAGATGTCGCAGTTGAGCGTGTTGACAGGGAGACAAGGCGAAATTCGTGCGAATTGCTCGGTTCGGAATTCTGATAATCTTTCACTGTCTTCTGTTGTCGAAGAGGAAGAGGGGAGCTGGTCTGCATTTTGAGGGTAGTTCTTGGAGTGCTGCTTTTATGTGAAAACATTTCCAGTAATTTGTGTTTTGTTGTTTAAGATGAATGCTTTTGGCAAAGATGGAAACTGAATCATTAGATTTTCACTGTGTAATATAAGTTGTGACTACCCACCGTGTATAATAATGAATAAAAGATGACCATTCCGTTTTTGTTGGTTCGTCCTCTTTTATATCCTCTGATGATACCTGATTTTCAAAAAAAATTTATCCTTCAAATATTTAGCCCTATTTGAAATAAAACTAAGGCCCTATTTGGGAGAAATTTTAATCAAGATTTTAATCAAAATTCTAGCTTTTAACTATCAAATCAGCCACCATTTTT